CAGCACCGTCCTTGTTGTCCCAGTGGGGGCAGGCAGCGAACTTCATGCTCTGGTCACAGCATCAGAGCCAGCGTGAGCCCCCTCTCCGGTGTGCAGGGGGGCGGGGAGCATCTCTCCCTCCCACTCCGCCCCAGGGGTCTGGTCACAGGCAGGCAGGTACCCAGAGCCCAGCAGCCCCTCCCTCCTGCCAGCCAGGTCATTTGCATTGTCACTGACCATTTCCCTCTTAGCCAATTGGTTCCCTGGATTCAAATTAAAATCCTCGGTCGTTACAGGGGCAGGGCCTGGATCCTGTCCCAAAGAGACACAGTCACCCCCCAACAGGACCTCACAGCCGAGATCCTGGAGAACCCCAACGACCAGCCAGCCCGACCCCTCCTGGGTCTGCACAGGGATCCGGCCATAGGCAGGGCGAGGGGCTTCGTCCCGGGGACCTTCCCCCAGGTCACACAGCCCCTCAGCATCTGCGGCTGCACCGCCCGGGGCCTGACAACAGTTCTCTCTGTCCCAGGGTCTCGCCACCCCAGGCATGTCCCCCCATTGACCCCCACGTTCCGCTCCCACTGGGGGTCCGAGGGGCCTGAGCCCAGGAGACTCCACGCAGACATATAGGCCGGGGCCAGGAGTGGGAGCCTGTCCACCACCCCACCCATCTGGCTGACAGCGTCTAAGGCCTTGGGACCCAGCAAGGGAGCTAGATACCGGGGCTTCTCCGCAGGGTCCCCCTGGTTCAAATCGCCCGCCTGCGTGAAGGCCGTGCGGTGGGCATCCACATCCCCCCCCCCTTAACCAGGGGCAGCAATTTAGTGTCGAGGTTCCCTGCGGAACTGGCAGCCCGGGGTCTGTCCCCACTCACCCCTGGGGAGCCCCCTATGCCTCTCCGCTCCACCAGCGCCAGTCCATGCTGCCGCTGCTTCTCCTGCAGCTTTTCCTCGGGCTCTCGCTCTCTCGGACTCAGCTCCAGTCCCATCCGTCTCCGACCCCCCGATGGGGAACCCGAGCGTGAAGACCCCGTCCGGTTCGGGACCAGACTCTCGGGGATGCCTGGCTACCACTCCAGCTGCTCCCAGATCCTCTTGTAGCCCCGTCTGGGTCAGGAATCTGCTCCTTAGAGCGGTCCTCGTCCTCCAGCTGCACGATTCACTGGGCCTTGGTGAACTTCCCAATGCGTAACCCTCTCTTTGCACAGGATCACAATGTCCTTCTTGAGGAGATGGTGATGGGCCATCACTCCGCTGTTCCCAAGTTGCTCTGGACTCTCAGGCCCGTGTGCTCTCAGCTCCCCCCCCCCCCCCCCCGGTTTCCCAGGAAGAACCCCTAGTGTGCCAGCCCTTCTCGTGGTATCACCTCTGTGCCAGGGTCGAGCTTCAGACTCCTCCGCCCCTGGGACCCCTCGCTGCAATCCCCAGGGGAACCCCGTTACTCCAACAGTCCTTCTCGCTGGTTGCACACTCCTGGGGTTAATCGCCCCGAAACCGTCCCTCTCTGAGCTTCAGCACGCCTGGTTCTTGGTATCCCCCCTTCGTTTTACTGCTCCCCAGTCACTTACTGCAAAAAGCGCCATTCACGGGGTGCCGTACATCCCACCTCTAACACCAGTTGTCATGGAGTCACCGGGCGATGCTCTGGAACTGCTCCCCACAAAGCCAGGCAGGACTTTGGGGAGCCTCCTCTCCCTCGGAGCAGACCGTCTTCAGGGCAAGGAGCTCACACGGCTTCACCTCCTGGGTCTCTCCTGGGAGCATTCAGCATATGCCCCTCCGTGCGCTTCCCACAGCGAGTCCGCCCCGGCGGGGTCCTGGGGAAGCCAGAGGGTCCTGCACCCCCCACTTCACACTCAGACGTGACTCTCAGCCAGCCAGTAAAACAGAGGTTTATTAGACGACAGGAACACGGTCTAAAACAGAGCTTGTAGGTCCAGCGAACGGGACCCCTCGGCCGGGTCCATTATGGGGTTCAGAGAGCCAGATACTCCCGTCTGTACCTCACTCCCCGTCCCCAGCTAGCTGCAAACTCCCACCCCCGTCCAGCCCCTCCTCTCTGGGCTTTGTCTCTTTCCCGGGCCAGGAGGTCACCTGACCCCTTTGTCTCCAACACCTTCAGTTGGCACCTTTGCAGAGGAGGGGCCCAGGCCATCAGTTGCCAGGAGACAGAGTGTCGGGCATTTATGTGCCCTGGCCCTTTGCTCTGCAGCAACCATACACCCTTATCCCACCCCCTAGATACTTAAGAACTGCATAGGGGAAACTGAGGAAAACATTAAGAACAGTCCCACTTTGTCATAATGATGATTCCTGAAAATCTGATCTCATCATATACAAGAAAAGGGTCTTCCAATCCCAAAGGAGCAGCCACACCCCCAGATCCAATGATAACTTAGATCTTACCCCAAATCCACACTTAGAGCCAATAATTGTCAAGTAAACTCACATGTATTAAAAAAGAGAAGAGAGAGTTGGTTCAAAGATCCATCTCCAGACAGACGTGAATTCAGTTCTTGATGTCCAGATACATCGCGGAGATTAATTTATAGTTGCCAAAAGTCCTTTTAGAAACAGTCCAGAGGTTACAGTCCAATGTCCGTGCTCAGGGCGACTCCAGTCAGTGACTTGGGATCTCAATCCTTGTGGCTCAGGGTTTCCCCCCTCTTGAAACCCGAAGCCGATTGGAGATATGGGGGTGGGGGGTAATCAGAGCCTATATAAGAAAAAGCCCCAAATATCAGGATGATCCCTATAAAACCGGGACATCTGGTCACCCTACTCAGAGATGAAGCAGGATCGTGTCCCGGGGTTTTTACACATTTCCAGCAGCGTCTCGGCCTGAGCGAATAAGCTTCATCTTCTGTCTCCCAACCATCCTGGCAATTAGCACAAGGTAATGAGTCCATTAGCAGTGCAGATCCCGGTTACCGCTGTCACGGACTCACAGATCGTGCCCACTCTTGGCCCCGTGCGGTCCGTGGGGGGTGCCCCTTTCAGTGAGACAGCCCTTCTCAGGGGTTGTGACGGAGCTGGGAGCGGGGCAGATTTGACCTGGGAATGTTGCAGGGGGATTGCAGTGGGGATGTGGGA